AGCCCCCCCCGCCAGTCTCTGCTTGAGAGAGCTGAGCTCCTTCTCACGCCGGGCAACTTCAGCCTGCAAGGCCAGCACCTCCTCCCTGCCAGCCATGTCGCCCGCTTCCGGAAGTTGTCGTGAAAGGCATTTCCGCTTCCGCCTTACTGACGCCTAGCGACTTGGATAAACTAAAAAAAAAAATTCGTGGAGTTTGGGAAAAGGTGATGAACAGATATATATTTCTAGAAGAAACCTTCATACTTAACTAGAAATATTAATAAACTTATCTATTAACACATTTATTTATTTAACTATAAGTATTAGTAAGTCCTGGCGCCACACAGAGGCCCTAGAGGAACTACAACGGAACCACAGGCCGTCCCCCTCTTCTCGAACTTGGTACAGCCCGACCCGTCCCTTCTCCCGCCGCGATTACGTAATTCCGCTTCCGGCGACTCCAGCAGTTCCGCCATGGCCGCTGCAGAGGCGAGTCGTACTCCGCTCAGGTCTCGACGAGAGCCGGAGGGTCGCGCCCAGCGACGGGACAAGTACTCGGTGCTTTTACCCACGTATAACGAGCGCGAGCACCTGCAGCAAGATATACCGACGCCAGCACCCTGCCGCTCATCGTGTGGCTCCTGGTGAAAAGCTTCTCCGAGAGGTAGCGCCCCCGCCGCCCTCCCCGGCCGTCGGATGAGCTGGCTTCCCCGCGGGTGTCGGCGGTGGCTGCGCGGGGCGGCCCTGCTGTGGGCCTCTTCGCTCATCGGGAGGACTCACTGTGACGGGGGTGACAGCGGGTACTTCTTAGGTTGTCTCCGTGTCCTGGGTTCTATTCCTGCCCTTGGGTTTTGTGAGACCCTCATGTCATTCTTTCTATAAGCGCTTTCCGTCCCTTCTTCGCCCCCGTTTCCCTTTTTCCTAGAAGGGCTGGCCGCCTTTTTACGAGAGTGATGCTGAAAGCTCGGCTTCGCCCCTCTCTGAGGGGTCAGGGTTTGTGGCCGGAGCCGGAAGTCTAAGCGAGCAAGCTCTGTCCCCTCCCCGGTGCTGAGTGCTTATGTAAGCGTGAGGTTTGGTCCTTGGGGTTAGGGAGTTACTGCTGGGTTAGAGAACGACTCTGGAAAGGAGAGAGCTAAAGGCATCTTCGTTATCACTAGTGGATTTATGGTGAGGTTGTTAGAAACCGGGGACCAGGGGGCTGGATTTGGAAATGTCAATGCCGTTTTGAAAAAGAAAGAATCGTCGCGTCAGTATGTTGACATTTGTTGAACTGAGCCCTGTCATTGAGCACAGATCATTTCAAGAGGCTGCTCTTACCTCCTACCAAACGAGGTTGTTTTGGGATTTTGGCTTTTGTTTTGCAAATGAGAACAAGGACTTTAATTTCCCAGCATTTAGAAAAGTGCTTGACTCATAGCGCATGCTGTTTTGTTACGTGACTTTCACCAAACACAGACTCACGCTTTTATTAATGCATCAGGGAGAAAGTCTTCAAGATGGAACTCCTGGGTCGACACAGATGTGCTTAACTTAGTTACTGCCAAATTGCTCTCAAGAAAGTTTGTACCAGCTAAGGGCTCTCCAATTCTCAGAGAATGCCTCTTTCCCACCAACCAGCCAGCATGAGCATTAATGAACTTAAAATGGTACAAGTAAGAATTGGCGAAAATCATTGTCATTTTTATTGTATTTCTTTGAATAATTATCTTTACATAGATGCCCCTCAACATTTCTTACTCATATCTTTTTTTGCCTTGTAGTTGTTTCTCCTTGTATTTTGATTTCTTCAAGTCTCTTTCCAAATTAGAGAAATTAACCATCATGTAGCCAATGTTTTTCCAGATTTTTGTATTCTGATTTTACGATATTTTGGGCTTTATTTTGTGATATATTTTAGGTACTGCAGTTTATCTTTTGATGGTTTCTGGATGAGTTTTTTTTTTTTTAATCAAAGTAAAGTTTAATAAAGGAAACAACTATCCTCTTCAGATGCAGTAAAATTACCTATTTGGTCTGCTCATTTTGATTCCTTTAATGACGATTTTGCTTATTTAATGACTCCATTTTTTGTGAAGTGTATTTCCAATTTTGTCTGCTACAATAGAATATATGTTTTGGCATCTACAGCACTATGCCTAAATTTAAGATGCAGTGGGAAGCTGAATCACTGTATCTTCTCTTGGAAATAGCTTGGTTTCTGGTTTTTCTTTTTGTTTTAAGACTTATTTATTTCTATTTGTTATTATTTATTTTTTTAGTTTAACCTGATGCTGGATTTTGATTTTTTTTTTGTCCTCACAATTTGCTGGGGACTGACCTTTATTTATTTTTTTAAGAGGTTTTTGCCTGAAGGCATGTGCCATTGCTGAAGAGAGACAGAGACAGTGAGAGGGAAAGTGGGAGATTAGCCTCTAGGGGTGCAGATTCTTCTCTACTCTCCTTCTGGGATGTTGGGTATGTACCCACAGGCACCCAGTTATTTTGAAACCACCAGGTCTGGGAATGGAACCACGGTTGTCCATGTGGGAGTTGTAACTGCTACACCCTACACCTTCTGCGGACTGCTTCGGGGGCTGCATTTAGAAAACCTTCAACAGTAGAATGTGTTTTCTGGTTGATTTCCATATATAGCTTGTTGATATATGTATCTTAAAGCAGTATGAAGATGAAACATGTTATGTTGTGGTTATTTGTCTGTGCCTCTGTGGGGTGGGATGAGGAGAGACATGCTGACATCACATGTACATCCATGTAGGAATTATCTAACAGTGTTGGCTTGTTTTTAGAATAGAAACGTTCACATTAAGTTAGTGAAATGTAACATTTTTAATTCTGAAGCTCAGTGAAATCTTTTGAAATTGTACTGTGATGATTTTTTTAAACTTGATAGTGGGATAATGGATAATTACTATTTGGAGTAATGATTTAAAAGATTTTGTCATCATTCTAATTGGATTTTTTTTAAAGAATTATTTTATTTAACTTTATTTTAATTTGACCAGAGAGGGACAGAGTGAGAGAGAGAGGGAAAGCGAGAAAGCAAGCCACCAGGTCCGGAACTTGAACTACAGTAGGCCATGTGGGAATCCAGCTCCCTTAACCACCATATCACCTGACAGCCCTTCTAATTGGATTTTTTTAAGGGTGAAATTATATTTATTCCTGATTATTATTTAACTTATTGGGATTAAATTTTTAAAAAATCGTTCAGAATGATTCATTTTGATTTGAGATGCTATTTAAAGTACTTTTAAAATATTTTCTATATCAAAGATTTGATTATTATACAGTCCCATTTCCAAAGTACATAAAATTTCACATGATATCATACATATAACTACACAGTTTTCTTTTTAACTAAAAGATATGTATTCTGTGTAAGAATTTTTCAGTATCTCAGGACTTTATGGGAGCATATTTCAGCAACATATTGGGTTTAGAAGTGAAATACTAAATGCATGACATTTCATTTGATAATTGACATTTCTCTTAGTTCCTAGTAGGGCCATAAATCTCTACTCACATTGGTGAGGAATTAGTAATTTAAAAATTATTTTAGGGGGCCAGCAGGTGGCGTGGTGGTAAAGGCACTGGATTCCCACATGGTTGACCATGTTTGAGTCCTGGACCTGGCAGCTTGCTTTCTTACTTTATCTTTCTCTATCTCTCTCTGGTCAAACTATCAAGTAATAATAAATATATACATAAAGTAATAGTTTTTAAAAATTATCTTGAAGTCTGAAATCATTGTCCTCAAATTTAATTATTTTTAAATTTTAGTGGAATCAACTATGAAATTATAATCATAGATGATGGAAGTCCAGATGGAACAAAAGATGTTGCTGAACAATTGGAGAAGATCTACGGGTCAGAAAAAATCGTAAGTTACGAAACGTTTTTCTGTCATACGAGTTGTGTTAAGGGAAAGATGGGAACCTTACTACTCTTTGCATTTCAAAAAAATGATAATGATCACCATACATAGTAGTCACTGGGTCCACATATTCCTGACTAATCCCAATAATAGAAATAATTTTGTGTTAGTCCATTGCAATGCTAACAGAAATACCCTGGACTAGGTGATTTATAAAGAAATTAAAGGATTTATTTGCAAAACTCAGAATTCTGGCTGGAAAATCTAAAGGAGCCGGCCTGCAGTATGGTCAGGGGAAGCACAGAGGAGGGCAGGCATGTGTGGTGAGAAAGTGAGGTGTGGGCAACCCTCTCTCTTTTACATTGACTAGCTCTCGAGGTAATAACCCCTTCTCAGCTGAGCTAGAACTCACCAGACTCGTGAGGCATCATCGATCTGTCCTCTGGAGCGTTGCCTCTGTGGTGCAGTCACCACCCACCAGGCCTTACCAACTCCCACCACCAGATTCCAAAACGTGAAACTCTGGAGGACAAACCATAATAAATACCTACAGCTCGTGCTTGCTTAGAGGTGAACCTCAGCTGTAGGAGGTAGTGGGGAGAGTTTGAGGGAAATGTGTTGCTCTCATACATGTGCTAAGCCGGTAAGTCCTTTCAGTGAGCACGGATGATCGGTTAACTCACAGGGCTGGAACACCTTAATTCCTCTGAGATCTAATGTACAGGGATGTAGAAGGTAAATAATAAACAGCCTTTCAGCCTTCTAGCAGAGACCTCCGGCAATGCTAGTTCAGGTTTGTGGCCAACTCCCAATTTTTCTTTCAGAAACTCTGGACCAAGACCACTGGTTCACATTTTATTAAACTTCTGCCTTAGGTGTGATTGACTGATTGATTTTAGGGAGTTTGAAAGTTGCCCTTTCAAATTCTAGAACAACATTGTCCTCAAAGACTTGCATTTTTCCTATCAAGCTAATAAAATAACAAGAGAAATTAGCATTCATTACCATGATTTCCCTGTAATACCAAATAAATTTCCCTATTTGTCTACCATTTTATGATCTCTAAATCATTTAAACTAGAAAAAGACTTTAAAACGTAGGTATGTATCCACCGCTGTGTACATCAGGCCATGCCGGTGATGTCACTTACTTTCTTTTAAGTGACTTACGTATGTTTACTTAGGGGTAAAGATGGAAAAACAAATTACTGAAATTATCTTAGAATACCACAGATAAAATATTTAGCACAGATGCCTTGTCAGTTAGCCTTCTAAACTTGTTAAAATGAATGTGTCAGGACAAAAACAAGTCAATAAATAAATAATAAATTAAAGAGGTGGGCCTATAGTCAAATTGTGGGCACTTACTCTGAAGTGGTCACAGTGCCTGAAGGGGCAGTTTCTCACTTTCCCTTTCACAGTTGGTCGGTCTCTCTTTCTTTCTCTCTCTCTCCCTCCCGCCCTCCCTCCCTCTTTCTCTCTCTCTCTGGAGAGTGCATACACCTTATGTCAAAAACCTGGAAATAAATACTTTTAGAAAACAAGGCTTACAGGACAAAGATATCTGAGATTGAGGAGTATTCAGCCTTTACGTGTTTTTTTCATCCACAATTTGAGATCAGATAAAGTCATCCACATTTTATCATTATCTTTTTCTAGCTTTATTTTGAATTAGAATTGACAAAATTGTGTATAAATCATACAAGTTAATAATTTGATAGCTGTGTACGTTATGAAATGATTACCAGTCGGGTGAATGAATGTGCATAGCGCCTCACAAAATTACTCTTTTGCATGAGTGGGTGTGGGGGGAGGACAGTCCACTCCGTTCTCTTTACAGATTGCAAGTAGGCAATATAGATTTATTAAGTGCAATCACCATGATGAACATTAGATTCTCAGAATTTATTCGTCTTACAGGTTTTTGTTTTTTAAGAAAGATTTTTGCTATAGGGTGCATGCGCTTGCTAGAGAGACAGAAAGTGAGAACTCACACTACTCCCAGGGGGATGGCCATGCTACAGTCTTTTTTACTCCATTCTCCTCTCAGGATTTTGGGTGCATGCGTGCAGTGTGAGTTTTAAGCTGCCTGATCCAGGACTTGAACTGCAGTTGACTACGTGGGAGTTCAGTGACATAAGCATTATGCCACCTGCTGTTCTGGTTTATTAGTTTTTAAAACTCATTCTAATAGCAAAACATAATGCATTTTTTTTTTAAGAGAGATTTTTGCTATAGGGCATGTGTGCTCTCCAGACAGAGAGACAGAAAGCGAGAAATCATACCCCAGCAGGGAAAGGCCATGCTGCAATCCCTTTTCCATTCTTCTCTTGGGATCTTGGGCATGCTTGCACACAAGCTCAATGTGAATTTTAAGTCACCAGGTCCAGGACTCAAACTGCATTCAACCACGTGTGAGAGTTCCATGACGTAACCATTGCATCATCTGCTGGTTCCCATCGTCTTTTTTTTTTTTTTTTTTTTGGAGAGGTTTTCACTATAGGGCGTGTGCGCTCGCCAGACAGACAGAGAGAGACATAGAGACAGAAAGCGAGAAATCACCCCCCAGAGGGGATGGTCACGCCACAATCCCTTCTCCTCCATTCTCCTCTCGGGATCCTGGGCACGCACGCACACGCGCCTGGCGTGAGTTTTAAGCCACCAGGTCTGAGACGCGAACCGCGGTCGACTACGTGGGAGTTCAGAGACATAGCCATTACACTAACTGCTGGTTCCCCCCATCGTCATTATTTTTGAAACATAGAGAGAATTGACTACTTAAAACTATGACACTTCTTTCTATCCTCAAATACCAAAATATCAATATCAAGATCAGTAAGCCAATAAACTAACAGATAATTCATAAAACAAGAACTACAAATGGCCAGTAAACATGAAAAAAATACTGAGCCTCACTGATAAATGAAGAATTACAAAGCAGGAAAAGAGTATGGTTAGTTTTACTTAGCTCAACTTTTTTTTTCTGTTTCTTTTTTTTTTTTTGGAGAGGTTTTCGCTAGAGGGCGTGTGCGCTCGCCAGACAGAGAGAGACATAGAGACAGAAAGCGAGAAATCACCCCCCAGGGGGGATGGTCACGCCACAATCCCTTCTCCTCCATTCTCCTCTCGGGATCCTGGGCACGCACGCACACGCGCCTGGCGTGAGTTTTAAGCCACTGGGTCCGGGATGCGAACCGCGGTCGACTATGTGGGAGGTCAGCGACATAGCCATTACGCTAACTGCTGGTTCCCTTTTTTCTGTTTCCTTAAACTCAGTGTTTTAGAGCGTATAGTAAAGCAGGTTCACTTGATCCAGTAATAAATGGATAAAGTTTTGTTTTTCAGGGTTTGTGTTTTTTGTTTTTTTTTTTTTAATTTTTGCTATAGGATATGTGCTCGCTGGAGAGTCAGAAAGACAGAAGGCAAGAAATCATCCCCTGGAGAGATGGCCATGCTGCAATCTTTTCTCCCCCATTCTCCTCTCAGGATTTTGGGTACACACATACATGCGCCTGGCAAAAGTTTTAAGCCACTGAGCCCAAGACTCCAACCACAGTTGACTATGTGGGAGTCGAGCAATGTAACCATTACACCGTCTTCTTGTCCCAATAGAGTTTTTCTTCCTTCCTTTTTTTCTTTCTTTTTTTTTAATTTTTTTGTGGGGGCTGGGGAGAGATTTTGTTATAGGGCACATGCACTCTGGAGAGACAGAGACAGACAAAAAGCAAGAAATCACCCATGGGGGATGGCCACACCATAATCCCTTCTCCTCCATTTTCATCTCAGGATTTTGGGCACGTACGTGCATGTGCCAGGTGTGAGTTTTAAGCCACTGGGTCTGGGACTCGAATTGCAGTCAGCTATATGGGAATCCAGTGACGTAACCATTATGCCATCTGCCAGTCCCTGATAGCGTTTTTTCTTAAGTGTCATCTGACCTTCAAAAATATTTGTACCTAGGGCCAGCAGGTAGCATAGTGGTTAAGGCACTGGACTCCCACATGGCTGACTGCATGCAGTTTGAGTCATGAACCCAGTGGCTTGAAAATCACACCAGTCATGTGTACCTGCATGCCCCAAATCCTGAGAGAATAGAGCAGAAAGGATTGCAGCATGACCATCCCTCTAGGGGGTGATTTCTCACTGTCTGTGGTGAGCTCAAGAGCTCTATGGCAAAAACCTTAAAAAAAGAAATTGTACCTTATCCTTATTTAGTCTTTTATTAACTTAATAGGTATAAAGCGGGTTATAAAACTGCATATGTAGTATATTTTCGGTTTTGTTGTTAAGTACAGTCCCATAACTGTTATTTGGAATATTTTCTACGTTAAAAATTTTTACAAAATGATTTTGTCAAATTATGGTATCACTTGAAGCATGTCATAAGCAGTTCTGGTGAGCATACATCAGAGCCTCTGTGCCCAGCACCCTCACATGCACTGCATAAGGATTTGCTGCTCGCTCTTCATGCTAGCCCTGTGAGGCTTCGTTGTGGCATCGGTCAGTGCTTAGGATCTCACGGCAGATGAGCCGTGCGCTCGAGGGTTCACGTTGCTCTGCTCTGCTCTGCTCTCCTGTCTCACGTAGAAAGGGTCACCAGAGCAATGACAGAAGCCAAAACGGGTCTGGGGAGGGCCAGAGATGGAATTAAGGGTGGGAAAGTAGAGTACACTAAATAGAAACAGAAACAGTTTTAACTTTTACTGCATAAGAATCAAACAAGTACATCTTTATAAAAATAATGTTTCCGTAAAACAGAAGTTGCCTTTCACGAGCATTTCCTAATCTGCACCCTAGTCCCTTTCTTAGAACACCCTGGTCAACACATTGCTGTGTTTCATGTACATGTATGTGCACGTATAGAAATCTGCAGAACTCAGTAGTGTGGTGGTTTGGGTCTTAGGTATAAATGCAGTCTTCCCATAGCATCATGGCTTTCGGTTGTATCCTGGAGATCTTTTATCACCAGATTACCTCATTTCTCTTCACTGTTCCATAGTACTCTATCATCTGCAATAATGTTTAATATCTTATATAAATCTTTGAACATCCTGAAAACTATGAGAACTACGAGTAGCTAACTTATCTTTAAAAGGGGAAAAAAAAAGATCTTCCTGCTGGTGCAGAGTTACTGGAAATCTCAGAAGAACTTTAAAAGGTTTACTCTCTCAAGGCGGATGCCAGATGGAGTCAGTATTTTGTCAATAGCAATCAGTGTCAAAATCAGATACAATCTGACTGTGATCTGAACATCGTTTAATTTTGTTCAGTGACCTGTAATTATTACGGACGACTATTTGTCTGTTTTCTTCCCTGTAAATTCTTATCAGACAAGAATATATTTTATCCACGTTTGTTCTTTCTCAAGACCTAAAGCAGCTTGCATACCAACAAAACAAAGCAAAACAAAACAAAATCCATCCTGCTTGAATGGAACTAGAAATACTTTGGAGATTTGCATTCTAAGCAGCCTGCTCCCACCCTGGCGATGAAGAGGACCAGGTATGCTCACTAGCGAGTGCAGCTGAGCACGCCTGGGCCTCAGAAGCTGAGAGCAGAGTCTGCACCTCGACGTTCTGCTTTGTAGCCAGAGAAGAAAGCAGGCCAAGTCACCAACCAGCTAAGAAGCAGAAAGCTTCAAAAGACTAAGAAGACATACCCAGGGCAAAGAATTTACCCTTTTTGCTAGGAACATAGCATGTCCTTGACCAGTAGAGAATGAGATGAGGTCATTCAGGTGTAAGACAAGGTGAAGGGATGGAGGAAGGGTGCTGTCAGCATTTAAACTCACAAAGGGAATTGAGAAAATGAACAGTCCTGTCTAGTGGTCCAAGCAGATAAAGAATAATGAGTCTGGTCCTCAGTTTTTATAGTAAGGAATCAATGGGTATTATTTAAAATGGTAAATCAGGTATTGGACATAATGTCTAAGATACGGTAGATGGCACTGGGAAACCCCAGGAGAGTTGGGGTTATAGAACGTTGCTTTTGCTCTGCTAAACTATATGGTTTCTTCCTTTGGCAAGAATGTTAGCATATTCTGTTTTAAGATCTAGGGACCAGCAGTTGGCATAATGGCTTATGTTGCTGGACTTTCATGTAGTTGACCATGATTCGAGTCCTGGACCCGGTGACTTAAACTCACACCAGGTGTGTGTGCGTGCATGCCCAAGATCCCCAGAGGAGAATGGAGGAGAAGGAATTGTGGGGTGGCCATCCCCCCTGGGGGGTGATTTCTTGCTTTCTGTTTCTCTGTCTCTCTGGCAAGCGCACACACCCTTTGGCAAAAACCTCTCCAAAAAATAAAAATAAAAAGAGATCTAATAACTGTAACTGTATTTCTATTAAAACAAGGATGTACTTATATGAATAAAATAAAATTTTAAGTAGATTTTTGTTTATTTAAAATATTGTTTTCTTGCTCCTGCAGCTTTTGAGACCACGAGAGAAAAAGTTGGGACTAGGTAGGTAGAACCTTGACCCCTTCATACCTGCTATTTATCTTGGTAACATGATCTAGCTGTATTTGTCAAGTTTGGAACAGAGCCAAAACACAGTGATGTCCTGTGATGGTTTTTATTGATTTAATGACATTTAAATAGTTTAACTTGTATCGCCTATATCAGAATCCACTCTGGAAAATAGAAACCACTGTCTTTCAGTGTGGAGAACTTAATACCGGACCGGTTACACGGGTAGAGGAATTGTGGAGAAACCAAAGGTACAGTGTGGCTACTCAGAGATTAGTGACAGCTGAGACTCACTGTCCCCCAGGGGTGAAGCAGTGATGGGAGAAGAGGGTGTTTTTGGAGCTTAGGAACCTGGGAAATCAGAGCTAGGATGATTGGTGGGGTATACTTGGCAGGAGCTGGCACCATGGAAGACACCTAGTGCTAGGAGGCACAGTAAGAGAAGGAAGGAGACTTTCCCTTCCTGCAGTCTTCATCTGTATCTCCCAAAACTAACTGATGTCTGCTGACAAGGGAAATGCCATTCCCTACAATAGACACAGAGCAGGGAAGGGCCAGAGAGCAGATATGAGGTGGGGCAGCTTGGACCAGCATGCGGCTTAGCTGTAAAACTTTGAACACTTTTTAAATTATAAGTTTAAAGAATTATTCTTTCTTTCTTTATTTTTTGGAGAGGTTTTTGCTATAATACCGGACCGGTTACACGGGTAGAGGAATTGTGGAGAAACCAAAGGTACAGTGTGGCTACTCAGAGATTAGTGACAGCTGAGACTCACTGTCCCCCAGGGGTGAAGCAGTGATGGGAGAAGAGGGTGTTTTTGGAGCTTAGGAACCTGGGAAATCAGAGCTAGGATGATTGGTGGGGTATACTTGGCAGGAGCTGGCACCATGGAAGACACCTAGTGCTAGGAGGCACAGTAAGAGAAGGAAGGAGACTTTCCCTTCCTGCAGTCTTCATCTGTATCTCCCAAAACTAACTGATGTCTGCTGACAAGGGAAATGCCATTCCCTACAATAGACACAGAGCAGGGAAGGGCCAGAGAGCAGATATGAGGTGGGGCAGCTTGGACCAGCATGCGGCTTAGCTGTAAAACTTTGAACACTTTTTAAATTATAAGTTTAAAGAATTATTCTTTCTTTCTTTATTTTTCGGAGAGGTTTTTGCTATAAGGTGTGTGTGCTTGTCAGAAAGACGGAGAGAGACAGAGAGACAGAAAGTGAGAAATCACCCCCTCCCCGGGGGTGGGGGGGTGGCCATGCCGCAATCCCTTCTCCATTCTCCTCTCAGGATCTTGGGCACCCATGCACACGTGCCTGGTGTGAGTTTAAGCCACTGGGTCCAGAACTCGAATCTCAGTCAGCTACATAGGAGTCCAGTGACATAGCCATTACACCAACTACTGGTCTCTATTCTTTATTTTTTAAAGATTTTCAAGTTTAAAAATAGGACGTTATGGAAAACCTCAGATAAGCTCAGTAATTCTGAGATGAAACTTGAATGCCTGTATTTCTGTTGTTCCCTCAGTTATTCATGTTGAGAATTGGTATACTTTTATTGTATACCAATTAATATATAATGGAAAAGTTTGGGGAGCATGGAGAAAGCACAATTCTCAAAATTGAAATCTATCCTGGAGACCAGTTCTTTGGTATCATCAAATGTTCTGAGTATTTGAATTCAGAAGGTGCTCTGAGATTAGAATAATCTGGAAATTACTATGAAAGTGGCCAAGAATTACTATTAGTGAGAGACCCAACAATTGTGGATATTCACAACGAGCAAGCCCAAACTTGCTCATAGAACTTTGGCCAGAGACTGTCGGAATCCCCAAATCCCACCCCTGGCACCAGTCACCCTAACCTGCCAAGTCCCTGGGCTCTTGGAGGCATGAAAGTGGCTAAGTAATTGCTGCCTGTGCCTTTGGCCTCGAATACCAGAGCAAGGGTCTAGTGGACCAGGCTTACAGTGAGGACTCAGTAGCTTCTGTGGAAGTGGTCTTGGAGTGATAGGGAGAACAGAAACAGAAACAGACCTGTTAGGTGGTAATCCAGGAATCAGAAGTTAGTGCCTGTAACTAAAAAAGGGAATTGAGAGGTATTGTAGATATAGAATCAGTAGATTGTGATTGTAGTTTCAAAATCTTTGGTAAAGACAGGATTCTTGTAGCTAGAGCAGTCAGATAGTTAATGCCATTTCTGAAAGATGACCTGTCATCAGGTGGCAAAAATCATTGGGAATGTTATGTGTGAAATGCTCAAACCTCCAGGTGGAGTTACCAAGTAGGACACTGATGGTAAACCTGGCACTCTGAGAAAGAGATCTGTCCTCTTGGTTGTCTTACATAAACCCTTACGAAGCTATTGTAGAGGTGGTTTGTTAAACCGTGAAAACGGGGTGATTTTTATATACTCCAAGACTTTCATACTATTTCTGTGTTAATCTGAAATAGAGGTTATGATGTTTTCTATTGCCATCTGCATGGGGGATGGCTGGGCCACTGTCTGGGTTATTATGTGTGTAATATATGTGACCTCTACGTAAGATGAGAAGCTACCAGTTTGTTGGTGTCCCTCGTCGAGAGCGCCTGTTTGCTTTTTGGGTGCTAAACAATTTTCTCCTGGTTCAAGTGTATACTTAACCATTTCTGGTGTTTTGTTTAATGGATACGAACACTTTTCATTTTTAGGAACTGCATATATTCATGGTATGAAACATGCCACAGGGAACTTCATCATTATTATGGATGCAGATCTCTCACACCACGTAAGTGTGATGTTTATTGGCTATTTAGGATTGTCCTAGTCAATTTTACTGACTGACTGTTTATTCTTTCTGAATTTCAGCCGAAATTTATTCCTGAATTCATTAGGTAGGTATTATTACTAATATTCAAAATAATTATTATTGAGGTTAATTTATCTTACATTGACTTTGGATTATTTTCATTCTTTATTAAAAGTAGACATAGTCTTGAGTTTTCTGTCAAATGAGTAATTAATTACAGATTTGAGGTTCATAAATGTAGATGTGTGAAGAATGGTGTGTTTTAGAGGTCCTGAGGGACCAATCAACAAATGACTCCTTTGTTAGCTAAATTCCTTCAGGCCACAGGAAAAACTGGAAGGCAGTTTTCCTGTGAAATGGAAGTAAGCAGTAAGCTTTGAAGCAGTAGAGTAAAATACCATAAACAGATGGGTTTTACTTTCTGGAACACCAGAATTATTTGTCATGCTAACTTAAATGGATTAAGTCTATAGATGGTAGAAGGTTTATTCACTTCCTTTCTAATAAAAAGTTTACTTCAAGTAGAAGTAAACTACTTAGCCATGATAAAGATGTCCCAGTCCTAGTACCAACCTTGCATCAAGTAGTGAAATGCTGAATCATTTCCAGTAAATTCGTTATGATAGACTTGCCAGCTGTCATTAAACATGGTGATCGTAAGTAATGCAGTAAGGCAAAAATTTAGTTAAATGTTGGCAGTAGATAAAATTGCATTTATCTGCAGGTGATATAATTATATTCTTAGAAAACACAAGAGACCAAGAAACTTGTGCAAATAAAGATTTGGAAGTTGTTCTGGGTTTAACTTAAATATGCAAAGCCAGATCATGTCACTCCCTATCTAGAATACCTTAGAGAGTTTCCATTAACACCTGGGAAAGAAAAACGTAAATTCCTGCCCTCGTCCCTCAAGGCCCCATGTAGTCTACCCCTGCCTCTCTGACCTCATCTGTGCCCTTTCCCTTGCTTTCCCTGCTGGAGGTACACTCTCTTCATTTCTCAGTCCACACGGAGCTCTTGTTCCTTTGCCTCAAATGCCCTTTGCCTATTTCTTAGCGGCCAACTACTGCTCATCCTTTGATCTCTACATAGTTACATTAGACCCTTTCTACTTCCGTCTCCAATACAAAAGCCCCTGTAAGGAAATGGAACTGAGACAAGGTGAGGGAAGAGACGGGTAGAAAATGGGTGAAAAGATACTCATAGGCCAGGACCAGCAGTTAGCATAATGGCTATGTCGCTGGACTCCCATGTAGTCGACCGTGGTTCAAGTCCTGGACCCAGTGGCTTAAACTCACGCCGGGCGCATGTGCATGTGTGCCCAAGATCCTGAGAGGAGAATGGAGGAGAAGGGATTGTGGCGTGGCCATCCCCCTGGGGGGTGATTTCTCGCTCTCTGTCTCTGTCTTTCTGGCAAGCGCACGCACCCTATAGCAAAAATCTCCAAAAAAAAAGATATTCATAGGCCATGTATAGAAGAAATCCCAGTGGCTGGTAAACATAAGAGAAGATGTGTAGGTAGGTGGTCATGATGCCAACTTAAAACAGCTTACTATTTTATTACCCATTAGTTTGTCAAAATTTAAAACTTTTGGAACAGTAATATTCAGTACCATTAAGATAGTTAAAAATAAAATGGACACACTCAAATACTGCTGAAGGACGTGTGGTGCTATAACCTTGTGAAAAATAGTTTCTGGCAGTATGTCTGAGAGTAAAGATACTGGACCAGCAGGTGGGGTGGTGGTAATGGTGGCTAGACCCCATATAGCCAGCTATGCAGTTCAAGTCCCGGTCCTGGTGGCTGGAAAAACATGCTGGGCGCATATGTGTATGTGTCCAAAATCATGAGGGGAGAATGGAGGAGAAGGGATTGTGGCATGGCCATCTCCCTTGGAGCATGCTTTCCCTCTTTCTATCTGTCTGTCTCTTTCTCTTTCCTGTTAGGGCACAGGCCTTAAAGAATTAAAGATACTCATAAGCTTTGCCATGGTGATTTCAGAATATTCCATTTTGGGGAGTCTAGACACCCAAGTAGACATTCATAAGAATATCCACACAGCAGTATTCATTATGATTGTGTTGGTGGGTGCAGGGAGGGAGAACCACCACAGAGGTATATGAATTGAATATTCTCTGGATTGTTTTTTATATTAGAGTGAGAAGGACTTCTTGACCTATAGGAATAGACACAGTTCCATGATGTGTGTTGTTAATGGATAAAAAGCACACTGTGAAACGTGCATTTTTGAATTTCAATGTTGTAAACACAACCAGTAACCACTGAGGTGTATCTTCGAATTATCTTTGTATAACAAAGAGTAAAGTCTGGAAGTGGGCCAGCCAGTGGTCTGGTAGTTAGGACAATTAAGGTGGATGGATCCCACATGGCTGACACATTTCAAATCCAAGACCTGGTAGCTTGGAAAACATGCTATGCACCTGCATGTGTAGGCCCAAATCCTCAGCGACTGGAAGATGAGGGTTTGTGGTATGCCCCTCTCCCTTGGGAGGGATGCTTTCTCATTCCCCTGCCCCTTGTCTGTCTGCCTGTCTGTCTCTGGTTAGTGCACATGTCCTCTAGCAAATACTAAAGAGAGAGAGAGAGAAAGGTCTGGAGGAATGCCAGGCTATTTGCGCATGATTATTTCAGGGGAGCCAAAAACAAAATGGGGGGAGGGGTGTTGAGAAAAATCTGTGGTTTTTAAAATACATTTTAGGGTGATTTCACATCATGGAATTGATAAATATTACTATTTTATAGTTTTAAAATAAATAAATAGGGGCCAGCAGGTGGCGTAGTGGTTAAGGCACTGGACTCACACACGGGCTGACTGTGGTTCAAATCCTGGACCAAGCAGGTTGAAACTCATGCTGGATGCGTGAGTGTAGCCAAGATCTTGAGAGGAGAATGGAGAAGGGATTGTGGTGTCTCATCCCCCCACCTCTACCCCCTGGGGGGTGATTTCTCACTTTCTCTTTTTTGGTCTTTCTGGCAAGTGCATGTACCCTATAGGAAAAATCTCTTTGGGGGGGGGGAAACAAGGAAAATGATGGCCCAGCCTTTGTAGGAGGGTGAGACTTTGTGATGGCTGGGGCTGCGTGGGGAGGTCTGAGTTGGACTCATGGCCCGACCTAGACAGGATGTGTACCTTGGTGCACACCTCTGATGCTAGCTGGCTGGGAAGCTGGGGCAGGATTATCAAACAAAACCTGTTCTTTCTAGAGTCTTATAAAGAAATAGTAATAAAGCACTTTTTTAAAAATAAAGGAAAAGCAGAATCAGTTTTGAAAACCACACTTTGAAAATTTTTTAACAGCTAATCTATTTTCTCAGCATTGTTTTTTCTCTGCTTTAAAGTAAATCATGAAAAATCTAGTCAAAGCTTAAGTTTTGTAACTGATTTTTTTCTACAGGAAGCAAAAGGAGGGTAATTTTGATATCGTTTCTGGAACTCGCTATAAAGGAAATGGAGGTGTATATGGCTGGGATTTGAAAAGAAAAATAATCAGGTATGTACGTGTGGAATAAGTTCTTTATTAGCCTAACTGTTGAAATATGTTTATAACAAATACTTGGCTTACGTTGCCATGCTGCCTTGGACATCTGTGGAGTCAGAGTATAACTTCCAGTAAATACTCCCAGTTCTACCTTTAGTTTCCCGTGTTTAGAGTATTATATTTGAATGTCTTCCATTAAGGAGAGGTCAACACAGACCTTAAGTATTTGGTAGAAATGGTCTAGTTCACCAAAAGTTATTATGCTGGACTTTCAGGGTTTTTTTGTTTGTTTTTATTTTTTGGAGAGGTTTTCGCTATAGGGCATGTGTGCTCGCCAGACAGAGAGAGACATAGAGACAGAAAGCGAGAAATCACCCCCCAGGGGGGATGGTCACGCCGCAATCCCTTCTCCATTCTCCTCTCGGGATCTTGGGCACACACGCACACATGCCCAGTGTGAGTTTTAAGCCACCGGGTCCGGGACGCGAACCATGGTCGACTATGTGGGAGTCCAGAGACATAGCCATTACGCTAACTGCTGGTTCCCTGGACCTTCAGTTTTGATTACATGAACTAATTATACTTTTGGACAGAGTTTTCCCCATATTTATATTTTTATTATCTTAAGTAAGACACTTGATGATTTTAGCTTTGAGCATAAAATAGCGGGGCTGTAGGGCTGGCCTGAAGTGTGTAGTTAAGCACTGCACCGAAGAAGCTTGAGCCCATATGGCCAACCAGGGTTCTAGCCTTAGCCCTGGGGCTTGAAAAACACATTGCACATGCACACATACCCAGGATCCTGACAGGGTGGAGAACTAGAGAAGAAACGATTGCAGTGTGGGCCAGCAGTGGGTGTAGTGGTTCGAGTACTGGACTTCCACATAGCCTACCATGGTTCAAGTCCCAGACCCAGCAGCAGTAGGGCCATCCCCCCGCCTGCCCCCACCCCCTCCCGGGAGAGCTTGCTCCCTTTCATCTGTCTGTCTGTCTCTGGCAGGTGCACAAGCCCTATGACAGAAACCTAGGGGAAAAAAATCCTATTGTGTCACTTAGTCTACTGTTCTAAACTTTTCTCTTTTCTCACTATAAAGTAGGAAAACCTACTCTTTCAGTTTTTCTGTTAATTGTGTAACTAATCATCTCAAAGGTTAAAACAACTCTAATTTCTTGAAATTCTAAGGTTTAGCTGGTAGTTCTCTGCTGGCTTCACACGGGCCCAATCGTGCTTCAGCCTGGGGTTCAGCTGTGCTGTCAGGCCCGGACAGCCTCGTTCCTCTGTGTAGCACTTTTTGCAGGTTGTTGACTAGAGCATCCGTTCCCTTTTATATGTCCTGGTTTTCAGAAGGCGAGACCAGCTCACGTACCAGGCACCCTGTGGACACTGTCCAAGAGGATCAAGGTGGAAGCTGCAAGACCTCTTGAGTCCTATGCTCTGGGGCTCACACAGTTACCGGGTTTTTTGTTCAAACCATTCCGTGATCAAAAGATGGGGTCTTCCCAACTCTATGGGAAGACCCACAGTAACTTTTTAAATCATATTTAATCTACCTTTTGTACTTTTCAGGATTGTTGGGAAGGTGAGATACATTTCTATCTGTAAATGATATGTAAGATATAATAGTATGACTTCAGAAATTAGGGCCAGCAGATGGCATAATGGCTACATCGCTGGATTCCCGCGTAGTTGACCATGGTTTGAGTCCCAAACTCGGCGGCTTAAAACTCAGACTGGGCACAGGTGTTTGCAGATCCAAAATCCTGAGCATGGCCATACCCTTGGGGGTGATTTCTCACTTTCTGTCTCTTTGTCTGTCTTTGTCTCTGGTGAGTACGCGCGCCCTGTAGCAAAAATCTCTCTAAATAAATAAACCCTTACTAACATTTAATGTTTTTTTACATTCACTTTATTCCTATTAAAGATTCTGCTCATTTCCTCTCAGTTCTGCCTTTTACCCCTGGACAAGTCATTTAGAAGCCTTAATCTTCTGGGACCAGCAGGTAGTGTAGTGATTATATTCCTGGACTCCCATATAGCCTACTGTGCTTCGAGTCCTGGACCTGGTAGCTTAAAACTCACGCTGGGCACATGTGTGTGTGCCCAAGATCCAGGGAGGAGAATGAAGAAGAGATTGCGGCTGGGCCATTCTCCCTGGGAGATGATTTCTCACGTTCCCTTTCACTATCTCTGTCTGTCTGTCTGTCTCTCTCTCTCTCTGGCAAATGCACACCCCCTAAGGCAAAAACCTCTAAGGAAAAAAAAGCATTACGGGACCAGCAGTTAGCATAATGGCTATCTTGCTGGACTCCCATGTGATCGATGGCAGTTCGAGTCCCAGACCCAGTGGCTTAAAACTCACGCCGGGCATGTGTGCATGTGTGCCCAAGATCCTGAGAGGAGAATGGAGGAGAAGGGATTGTGGCATGGCCATCCCCCCTGGGGGGGGTGATTTCTCGCTTTTTGTCTCTCTGTCTGGTGAGCGTATGCGCCCTGTGGCAAAAAACTCTGAAAGAAAGAAAGAAGGAAGGAAGGAAGGAAGGAAGGAAGGAAGGAAGGAAGGAAGGAAGGAAGGAAGGAAAGAAGTTAATCTTCCATGAATTGAGGGGGTTGAGTGAGAGTGGTTTTCAATCCTACTGAACATCAGGGTTGTGTAGGAAAAAATTATACACACCTATCCCTGTTTGTCCAAACACACACATACACCGTCTGGCAAAATTTTTTTAAAAAATTATGTAAATGTACTAGTACATACATTGGATCAGTGGAAAAATCATGATGCATTTTTGCATAGAAACCCATAGAAAAATATGGCATGACTTTTCCTACTGCCTTATATATATATGTGTGTGTGTGTGTGTGTGTGTGTGTTTTGCAGGAGTGAGCCATGTCCTGGTGTGTGTTTTTTTTTTTTTTTTTTTTTTTTTAACAGCTATTAGAAGCAGGCCAGGGACCAGCAGATGGTGTAACAGCTACATGGCTGGACTCCCATGTAGTTGACCGCAGTTCGAGTCCTGGATCCAGTGACTTAACTCATATGTTGGGTGTGCGTGCATGCCCAAGATCCCAAGAGGAAAATGGAGGAGAAGGAATTGTGACATAGTCACGCCCCCAACCCCCCTGGGGAGTGATTTCTTGCTTTCTGTCTTTCTCTGTCTTTCTGGCCAGCGCACATGCCCTATAGCAAAAAAAAACTCTCCAAAAAAAAAAAAAAAAAAAAGGCAGCAGCAGGCTAAAGGTGGAAATATTTTTGTTAGCCATCATCGCCCCTATATTCCCAAACTATTCTGTTTCTATGTCACTTGTAACCTTTCTTCTGTTGGGCCTCGCCTTTGGAGAGGAACTTCTCTCCTGGCTTCCCTAAAACACATTTTGTAAATCTTATCACACTGAAGTAGCTGCTATACACAAGTCTCTTCCATCAGGCACTTGACTTTTTTTTTGAAATGTTAATATAGCTGTTAGTCTCTAATAGCTTGTATTTGGTTGATAGCAGCTGTGTTTGAAGAACTTACCCTAAAGTCATTGTTATGGGCCAGATGTTTTTGTATTGCACTTACTCCTAAAATGTGATATTTAGAGATGGAACCTTTGGGAGACAAATAGACTTAGATGAGGTCTTGAGAATGAGGCCCTCTGATGGGATTAGTGCCCTGGAAAGAATAGAGCAGAGGCTTGTGCTCTCTCCCATCCCACCCTCCATGTGAGGACACCGCCAGAGTCTGGAAGCCAAGAGGGCTTTTCACAAGATCTGAGTCTACCTGCACTTTGATTTCTTTAAGTTCTGCAATAAGGTGTAGCATGTGCTCATCAGAGAGAGAAAGAAATCACCCCAGGGTGGATGGCCATGCTGCAGTCTCTTCTCCATTCCTCTCTTGGGATTTTAGGTGCCTATGTGCACCCAGCGTGTTTCTTTTTTTTTTGGAGAGATTTTCACTGTAGGGCGCGTGCGCTCGCCAGACAGAGAGAGACATAGAGACAGAAAGTGAGAAATCACCCCCCCAGGGGGGATGGTCACGCCGCAATCCCTTCTCCTCCATTCTCCTCTCGGGATCTTGGGCACACACGCACACGCGCCCGGCGTGAGTTTTAAGCCACCGGGTCCAGGACACGAACCGCGGTCGACTACGTGGGAGTCCAGCGACATAGCCATTACGCTAACTGCTGGTTCCCCACCCAGCGTGTTTCTTAAGCCGCCAGGTACAGAACTCTACCCAGTCAGCCCTGTGGGATCCAACCCTACCTTAACTACTGTCACTGGCTGGCCGCTCTGCCTGCTCATCCGGTCTTGGACTTCCCAGCGTCTGGAACTGAGAACTACATGGCCGTTGTTTAAGTCACGCAGTCCATGGCACTTTGTTATAGCAGCCAAGCAGACGGGAGTCACGGAATGAGCCTTTGGTCAGTTTCCAGAGATCCCCAAAAAAAAACCCAATCCGTCTTCTAATTGCACATCTTCTTAGTTCTTTGATGCAGGCTGCCCTATTAGGTAAAAAATTTGATCTCTCTGTGTTTATTTGAATATGAAAAGGAAACTCCTAACCAAATCCCTGATCCCTTTTGCTAACAGATATTGACCATTTTAAATAATGATGGTTGGTAAATACTCACTTATTGCCTGTTTTCTTCTTAACAGAAGTCTGGAAAGATGATTATAGGGCCCCTCTAAATTTCCTTGTTAAAGCATAAAAATCTCTTCTCATGTGGAAAATGAGTATCAGATGTCCTCACTAAAAATTTCTTTTATTCTAGAGAATTATGAAATTAGTGATGTAGTTATGAAGTTAGCATTTTTAGCACTTTGCTTTTGGATATATTTCTATTGTTTATAAACTGTATCTTATAAGGAAAATATGATTGCTTTACTTGGCAGCCGTGGAGCCAATTTTATAACTCAGATTTTGCTGAGACCAGGAGCATCTGACTTAACAGGAAGCTTCAGGTACAGTAAAAACGTCTACTTTTAACTTCCTGCCTGCATTCTTGGTTTATATGGGCTGTTTTAAAGACGTGCTTTTCATTTCTACCCTTTTCTTGTTCTGGAACACCAAAAGGCAGATTGAAATTCCTTAGAACTTATTAATGAAGTACAACTTCTTTTACTTTTTTTTTTAAAGAATTATTTATTTTATTTTATTATGATTATTACTTTAATTTGTTATAGGGCACATGCACTCACCAGAAAGAGAAAGAGAGGGAAAATGAGAAGATAGGTCTGGGACTCAAACTGTGGTCGGCCATGTGGTCCAGTGCCCTTGACCACCATGCCACCTGCTGGCCTCAAAGCAAAGCTTCTGAAGGAGCTATATTGTACTTTTTCTTTCAAAAGTTGAAGACAAGGCTCGGGCTGGTGTGCTTTGTCAGCATCAGTTTCAAGGCTCAACTGCTCATAACTAATGACCCCAAAGAACAGCCTGCATTTCAGTAATTTTCTGCAATTTATATTTATACCATTGTCCATAGAAAAGTCTTTAGACTTTTAATATTTTTATAGAGCCTTTCTGTCATTTTGTTCTCTTTGTGTTTAAACAAAAATTTCCTTGCTTAGTTGGACAGACACTTTAGCGTCTGGGTTTTCCTATGTTTGTTTCCGGATGTGAGTGTCAATTCTATGTATGCTACAGATGTAAACCGTTTTGTATGGCCAGACCAAATGACTAAAGATGGTCATGTTTTTGTTCATCTCTGAAACTACAAAATGCCTATTAATCTACTTTAAGGTCCAAAACCGTATGCATTACTTAATAATTTATATTTCTTGATGCTTGCTTTTTTTCCCCCCATTAAATAATATTGATTCTCAGGTCCTTCACTTAATATAGGAAAAGCTAAGTCCTTAAGTCTCAGAATTCACACACACACAAATTAGTTGGCGGTTGAGAGTCAAAGGAAAAAAAAAATGGGCCAACTCCATGTCAGAGCAATAAATTAATGCTCAAGAGAAGCCAGATCCCATGTGGTAAATGGCTTTGAATCCTCTTCCCAGTCATCCGGAAAAACACGTCTGTGCAAAGGATCTGATTGGCTGGAGAAAGGGGAGCATGGCCTAACCAGATCCCGTGGAAGGCATTTCTGTGAGCACCTCTCTCTGTCTTGGACATGATCTATCATGAATAAAGGGAAACATTTTAAAGAAAAATAAAGTTTCTCTAGAACGAAAAAGTAAATTGATAAGAAGGGACCTGGTGTATGGGGGATATCTAGCCAGTGGTATAGTGGGTAAGGCTTCTGGATCCCGCATTGCTGGCTGTGCTGTGAGTCTTGAATCCAGCAGCTTGAGAAGCACACTAGAGTGTGCATGCATGCCCAGAATATCAAAAGGAGGGAGAAGTGGAAGAGAAGGGATTGTAGGGTGACCATCCCCTGGTGGAGGAGTGGGGGGGTGCTTCGTCACTTTGTGTCTCTGGCTAGCATGTGTGTCCTCTGCAAATAAAAAAAAAAAAAAAGGGAATAAGGGGTGCCCAGTAAGTACATCCCTGAAGTTCCCCACTCTTAAGACGAAGGAATCATGTGTAATCTGACTGCCAGGTAGCAGCAGCACTGCAGCACTCACAAGACCTCTAAACAGGGAAGGATTGGGGTTGCTGTCACAGGTCTCAGCTGAGGTTATGAATTAGTATTCCAGTAACTCCATGGGCTGTGGAGATCGAGGCAGTGAGGAAGTCTCTGCAGGGAGAATATGGGGCAAGGGTGGCCCACTGCCACTGGAACCCGGTGGGGATGAGTGGAGGGGAAGGTGTGAGGGATGACCTGGGAGTTCTGGATTCCCTGGAGTAAGAACAGTGATTGTCCTGTACAGTGACAGCAGCCAGACACATCAGTGAGCCCACTAGTTTCACAATTTAAAGTGTTAAGGTTATTCTCTTATGAGAGGAATGATTTATTAAATTAGATGCATTAAAGTTCAACTTGTCACCAGACAAAAGTTCATTGTCGTTAGATCCTTGGATTTAAGAAGGTACTTTTTAGAGAATAAGAAAAGAAATCCCAAAAACAGTTGGAAATGAAATCATTGACTAGCAAAGACCCCTTCTGGGTCCTAATCCTATTTACGGAATTGCATGGCTTCACACATGATGACCTTTCAGTCAACAGCAGACACCGTGTAGGCGGTGGTCCTATGAGATAGGCTGTACCATGTAGCCCAGTTGCACAGCAGGCTGTACCTCCTGGGTTTGTGTAAGCACTCTATGGTGTTCACAGAGTAAAAAAAATGCCTGCTTTTTTAACGTACCCCTGTCGTTAAGGGAAGCATGACTGTTTATCATTTTACTTCATTAGCCAGTTTATAGTTATTGTGGGAGAGTAGAGGAGAGGGAGTTGGCAGTGAAGAATACATCTCTAAGAAAATGACTTTTAAGGAGAAAAAATTACTCAAAGGAAAAGAATTTGGGGTCAGTCCTATAGCATAGTGGTTAAGGTAGCCACGTCCCACGTTGCCAACCACAGCTTGAATCCTCATCCCAGTGTCTTGAGCATCTTGGGTGCTTATTATTCCACCTGGAGGAATGCTTGAAACTTAGTTCTACTGTTCTTAGGCAGTTCTTGCTCTTCCTGCCATAATTTTTTAACTTAAGTTTAGAAGAAT